CCTCAGGGTCACAGCAAGCAATGGAGCAGATCCTCAGCCCCTGCTCCAATCTGTGGAGCCTCTGAATTAGCAAACCTGTGCTCATTCCCACCAGGAGGAGGTGAGGCTCAAGGAATGTAAAACTGCAGCTGTCACTTCAGGATTTGGTTTGGATAATATGGTTGTGGAAACAGATTCTGTATAATTTTGTTTCTAATTCCAAGGAGATTTTATATTTTACATCACATCAGGAAAATGGCCACTGCTGAAGCCAGCTGGTGAGGAGCTTTTCCCTCTAACAGAATGAACTCTTCAGGGTGCTTATCAGAGGCACAGAGGAGGTATGGGACACCCCATTGGTGTCATATCTGAAATGTGTTCATACTGCCTTGGTTGCTAGGTTAGGTCAGCGGTTGGACTCAGTGATTTTCCCCAACCTTAATGATTCTCTGATTCTACCTGACACTGCTGTGCAATGAGTTATTGGGCTGCAAATGGTGTGCTCACAGTGCTTCTGTGTGGGTCTGATATTTTACTGTTAGGGATGTGTTGGCTTTGTCTAATAGTCCTGATATGAATAACAGGAACAGCCTGGAGAGTTTTAAGGACTTGCCTTTTTATTTCACTTGAGATGCTTGCTTTGAATCTGGCCCTTGTCACAAATACTCTCCTCTCATGTCATTTTGAATTCACCTCTTTCCACTGGCCATCTTTTAAAATGCTATGTGCTGAACTTAACCTCAGGCTACCAAGATAACTGGCCTTTATCCTTAATTTTTCATAAGAAAATAAACCCCTCCTTTCCAAATAGGCTGATCCCATCTCCCTGGCAGACAATGCTGAGTGCTGTGTGCTCTTAACAGAGTTTAGAGTGGGTCCTATTCATTCATAGTTGATAAATATACAGATAAGTTATGGCTTTGTTTCTATTATTTATGTGCTTGGAATGTAAACTTGCTTCAGAACAAAAGTCTAATTTTAGAAAATAAACATGCATTTGAAGGTAGACAAATCTAAAAACTAAACTTTAACTGTGTAATATGTTTCCTTATCAGGAACATAAATGGTATCTCAGACTATTAACAGATGCATTACATATATTAATGAGAGTTTTACCATGTTCTGTATCTCAAGAACCCCTTTTCTTTTGCTGTTAAGTTATTCAATATTAATTTGCATTCAGTGCCATCAGTTAAAAATTGGCTGCTTGCAGTTATGAAATAAATGCCTATGAACTAGTAGCTACTTAGTATTTTCAATTCAACAAAGGATTTTAGAAGGATGGATAATTTAGATCTTTGAGCCTCAACTATAAATAAACAGCAACTGCTGTACAAATCCCACCCTGCTGCAGAGGAAGATTGTATTACAAAACTGACAAATGATTTGCGGAAGAGAATGATGAACCCTTATTACTGAGACACTCTTCAACTTAATCCAAAACAAGATTCCCGGGTAATTTTGCGTGCACTGGGAAGATTGATGGCGTGGTGCTTGCCCAGCAGCTTTCACATGTTTGACTGGATCGGAAATGGCACTGAGGCATGATTAAAGATTCAGTTGGGCTTCTCACAAATTCTTTATCCTGTGTATTCATTATTGCAACCCACTGCCTTTGTTGCAGGTTAAAGAAGGCTGACCCCAGCCCTGGTGATTAGCACCCTGTACAACTGATGGACTTATGGAAAGAAATGTTTAGGTTGCCCGACGCTTTTAGCATTGTTTATCAGCTGAAATTGTTGGGGGGGGGGGCCTTAATCACAATGGATCAGGGAGAGCCTGTGACAACTGACAAGCTCATTGTTTAAGACATTTTTTAACGAAGTTGTTAACATTAATTCTTTTATATAGTACTCTAATCTTCTTCAAATTATGTTCTGACATGGCACAAACCGCTTGGCATTGAAAGTCATTCAACAGTGATTAAAGTGCTCTTTTTATTGGTTTAAGAATGTTTCATCTTGTATCAGCAGTATGGAATTGTTTACTAATTAGATTCCCTAACATCCTCTGCTGTTGTATGCTGATGATATGTGAACAGGAAAGCTGATGAGCAAAAAATTAAAACTTGTTACTAGACTGTCATAAGGCCCAGCATATAAAGATGTCATTCAAAGGACTGTGTTCAGAAGGGATAAACAATATTTGCTGAGAAACAGAGCAGTTTATGGCTGGTGTACAGGCAGTTTGCACTATCTGCAGCTCTGGCTCTTCACAGAGGTTTGTGGCTATAGATACAAAGGAGAGATTGATGCCTTGGGGACCTTCCCATTCAGCATGGCATTTATGAGGCTTCTACACATCCCATTTGGGCAGGAGGTTGGGCTGGACCCCTCTTGATACTCCTGCCAACCCAAAATGGGATTTGATTCCTGTGACTCTGATGCTCATTCCTCTCAGTCCTTGGACAAGTCACTTGGGCAGATCCTCAAGTGTCTGAATGCAACCAGCTCACAAAGGGAATTAGATACTTAAGTGGCTCTGAGAATCTGGGATTTCCCTTCTGTTACATAGTTTTGCTGTCTGAAGCATTCTCCTAGGCTTGATGAGTTCATGTTTGTCCATAATCGTGAGATACTAAATCTTTACCCTCTGTCAACGAAGGGATAAATACAACTGCATTTCTCTTAAGTAATAAGAAAGGTACTTTTCTTTCAATGATAGAACCATTGAATTTTCTTCTTCCAAAACAGCCAACATGATTGAAACATTTAGAAAGAAGTAAGGATACACACAGCCAAAAAGCAAATGGCACGTTGCTTACATCCAGTTCTCAGCAAAACACTGGAGGCATCGCAAGATAAAGTGCTTTGGGCTTCCAGCCACATAATCTTTTATCACTTAAAGTAAATATCCTATGCTCACACAGGGAAAGCTATTCTCTTCTTCTGGAGTCTAGCTTGTGTCAATGCTCGAGGTATAAAGCACTGCTCTTGTGCTCTGGGGTGTTTTTCTGCCTGCTGAGAATTTTGTTTAAACATCGTCAAATTCGACTCGTTTGAAAAGATAAATTATTGTTTGGGTTGGATTTTAAACTGGCTCTGATAAACTTCCATTTTATGAATTAGCTGAATTCTATTAGAGATAGCCTGAGTTTAGCTTGGCTGGATGGATGCTTTTCAGCAATGGCTTGAGGGCTCTCAATCTGCCTTGAGCAATTCAGTTTAATTTTACCTTTCTAATGAAAGTCCAGTTGAATTGCTTGCAAAAAACTAATAATACTGTTTAGGGGCTTTGAGACATTCTGAACAGCTGAATACAGTGATCATACCTATACTGTGGAGCTTTATAGGATAGTTGAAATGAGCATAGAAATTTTATTGTTCTCTATTAATATTATTTTTAGTAGAACTCTCTTCCATTTCTGCTAACACCTTTAAGATATTTTCTCTTTTTTTAAAAAAGATACTGGCTTAATAAGAGGATTACTATGTATTATACTAACTTTAAAAATATTTTGGTCTGTTGATAAATATATACCTTTCAAAATACTTAATACAGACAGTTTTGGTTTACCTTGTGATGGGAGATCATTTCTAAGTTGTGGAGTCATCATTATCAGTTTAATCCCATCTGCTGAGGAAAATGCATGTCTTGCAAACAAATATGCACTTCTTTGTTGCTACAAAGATGCCTCAAATAAGGAGAACTGGGGCTTTTTAAACTGCTTCCTGTCCCTGAAGGATGCGAATGCAAAGTAGAGGTCTTCTGCAGGTTGACCCCCCCTAGCGGCACCCTGAGTTTCCTTGGCTGTGACAATGAAAGGCCAAAAAACAAAGGAGTGGAGGAAAATCACAAGAGATTGAAGCCTATTCTCTTATCCCATTAAATTATCTTAATGTGGCAACAACTAATTTCTCTTCATTTACTTTTTCAATTGCACTTGGCAGCCTTTTTATTCTGATTCCTATCAGCTCATAATTTGTTACCACAGAAAGGACTAAGATGTACATAAATAATCATAAGATGCCAGATAAACTCTATCGGTTTTAAATTAGTGTTGTGTTTTGCTAATGCGCTCTCACCTATTATTTTTAATTATAGTTTACAAAGCAAAATAGCTTCTTGCCCTCTCCCCAGCTGTTCTGGCACTGTGCTTTTAGTCTGTGCCAGGAATTAGCCCATCACCCATGCCAGGGTGCTGGCCCCAACCCTCTGGCCTCCATCTGTAGGTTTTTGTTGGGACACTTCATAGAAACCCATTCTTCCTCTTTGAGCATATGTTCATTTAGTATTTAAATAAAAAAAAAAAAAGGGGGAAGGGAAAGGAAAAAAAAGAAAAAGCAAGAAAAAAAAAAATCCCTTCTGATTCACAAAAGCCTCTAATCTATCCACTCCATTTCTTAAAGCATTATAAGACATGAGAAATGTTGTTGCAGAACCAGCCCTGTCTGTGCCTGCAGCAGTCAAATGCTCTCACACAGCAGCAGTGACAACTGCCTTGGACTGTTGATCCGAGATCCACGGGCAGGTTTGGCACCAATCCCGACTGCACTTTACATGATAGGTCTTAATTGGAGTGCCCAGGTTAATTTTGCACAAGAGGTTTAAAAAACCCAAACAAACCAAACCCATCTATCAGGCTGCGGGTCAGGGTGCCTGGGCATATGGTCAATGATTTCTGGGATGCAAAGGGAAGTTTTGAGGCGCTGCTTTTAAACCTGGATCAGCTGTTCTGGTGTCAAACACCACCTGGGCAGCCCCTGCCACCAATCCAGGTGTTTACCAAATAGGGGCAAAACATCTGAGCTTGGGGCTGTGGTTCAGGATTCTCTTTTTCTTCTCCTCTTAGAGGGAAGGAAAAGAAAGAAGTCCTCATTGAGGTGGTTTGTAAAGAATTGCCTTCAGCCTTGTCACCGGGCAGCTCACCCTGCCAGCCACACTGCTTGCGCGACACACAGCTCCAAAGGGCTGTGCTTGAAATCACAACGATAATAATAAACTATAAAATATCTATGCATTTATACAGTTCTGCTTGTTTTCTCTCTCTTAATTTAATTTTTTTTTTGTTATTATTGCAGCAACAAGGAGCTGCCACGACGGTGTACTGCGCCACAGCGGCGGAGCTGGAGGGGCTGGGCGGGATGTACTTCAACAACTGCTGCCGCTGCCTGCCCTCGCAGCAGGCTCAGGACAGCGCCACAGCCGCTGCCCTCTGGGAGCTGAGCCACAGGCTGATCCAAGAACGAGCTGGCAGCCAGGCCAAATAGCAGCCAGCTCCTGGAAGGATCAAAACACACGAGTGTGTGCGCGCTCGGAAACTGCCAGCACTGGAACCTGTCCAATCTTATCATCTAGAGGGTTTCCATGTACCTCAGATACAGATTAAGCGGTGTTAAATGAAATAATAGCAGTCACAACATAGTGAAAAATGTTAAGTACTAATGGGAGGTGGGGAATACTGTGGGTTAAAGGGACAATGCGGCTTCCTGGGGCTTGGTTAGTCTCGGTTCTCTTTCTTTTGATTATAGCCTGTTCAAAGTGTAACCCAAGGAGGCATCTTCTGTCTTATTTTAGAAAAGCAATTCTGCAGATAATTTCTGTTGTTTTGATTAATGGGTAGGTATGTAGCCCAATATGGGATTTTCTCCTTATTTTGATAATTGCTGTCTGTTAGGCTTTAGGTATTGATTGGGAGATGGTGGTTGTGTTGATTCTTTTTCCCTACAAGGATTTTATTGGGTGTGGCAAATCAAAAGATTATTGAGGAAAGAAATCTTTTCAGCCCTGGACTGTTGGCTGCAAGTACATCTGGGCTGTCTAGAAAAAGAAGGTGCAGGAAGACATCTGAACAGTAATGGGAAAGTCACAGCTAATTAAATATTTCTGGTTTTGGTTTTTTTTTTTTTTTTTCCTTAAAGATTACAATAAAAGATATGTTGTAAACCATTCCCTAAGTAGTGTTGAGTTAGCAAAGATGATGATGTCTCCTTAAGAACACACAGAGTGTAATCAGGGGTTTAAATGGTATTTCCATCAATTTCTCGGTTCACAGTTTTAAGGAGTTTTATTTCCTTGAAAGTTCACAGTTTCTCAGTTCTCCTGATACTGTATCCCATTCCAAATCTGTCTTTTCTTTCCATTTAAATTCAATAAAACAACATGCTTGCTTGAATATTGTCACCTGAAGAGAAAGTTTGTCTCATTTCTGCAAATGTCTTAGTTCCATTTTTTTAGAAAAGAAAACTTGAGGAAAAATAAAGAGCTTCTTGTTGATGCCAAGAAAACCTTGTTTTTTTTTCTTGTTTCTTTCTGAGTTCATTTTTTGTATTTTGTGCTTTGTAGCTGTCTTCATGCCAGAAGGTTGTTCTAAGCCATCCTCAGTCCAGCATCACATTTTCTGTAGACAGAATATAAACAAATAAATAGAAGGACACATTGTTAATAGAAGTTTATTTGATCCCCTTTTTAGTTCTGCAGATTGTTAAATCTGCCTTCCATGATTTTTCTTTTCTGCAGTCACAGTACATTGGGTTAATTGTTGAATAAAGTCAAGGCTTCTACCCCAGTGCAGCCTCAGTTGCTCCTTCCTTGTCTGCTTCCTTACCTGGTGCCACAGTCTTTCCTAAAGCAACAGTAAATATAGAATATTTAATATAATTTATTTAATATATAATATTTAATATTATTTAATATACTATATGGTCTTTTTTATCCCTGCTGTGCCACCTCTGTAGCAACAGCTTTAGGAGACGACAAATCCTGCCCAACTCCTCAACTCCCTGCAGCCCCTTCCCCAAGGCAGCACATCCTGCTCTGAATCATTTGGTGGAAAAAAGAAATAAAAGGGGCTATTCCAGAAAGAACAACACCTCTTTTCAGCCTTTTGCAGAGTAAAAAAAACAAAAAAAAAAGTCCTGCTTGTCTCCTAGAAGTTTTCTCCAGTCTGTGCTGCACAGACCAGATGCTGGTGTAGTGCAGTGTCTGAAAATTCATGGCCTGGGTTGAAGGCTTTGCCAGCGGAGGCAATGGTTACAGCCAAATTCCTTGTATTGTCTGGAGTTTAACTGGGGAGAAAAAGTGATTAACTCCTGTCACCTGCGCAACAGCCCTCACACACACATTATTTTTCCCTTTCAGAGCCAGACAGAATTACTGTGGTATGACACAGGCAGTGCAGGACTGCAGAGCTTTGCACTGGAGCTTGGCATTGCTGGGTTCAGAGGAGGCACTAATTAAGTGATGCTGGGAGCTCTGCACTCCCCTGAAGGCCTGGGCCTTCTGCTCCATTTAGGCAAACATTAATAACCTATAATGAACCCCCTGTCATTCCTTATTGCTGAAATATTGTTCACTTCTCGGAGAATTCAGTACTCAGGGATATTGCCTGCCTTCCTTCAAAGAATGTCTGTGTGCTTTTCCTTTGTAGCCCTCTCTCTATTTTAGTGTTACAATGTAAGAGACTTTTAATGTTAGCATAGTTTTAGTTTAGCACTAGTATGAGGCAAGCTAACCCCTAACTTCACTGAGTTGTTTGGGTTCCTCTGGTTTTTATTTCTGGTTATTATTTATTGACACCAGTGTATTGCCCTGTCTAGAATTTCACTGTCATAATTTTCTCCAATGCAGACAAAATTACTTGCTCCCTGTTTCTTTCTTTTGCTTTTTATTTCACTCTGTCATTCTCCTTTTCTCTTTTTTCCTCTCCTCCATTTTTTTTCTCTCTCTATTTTCCTCCTTCCACTCTCTTTGTCTCTCACTCTCCTATGTTGAGATAGCCAGTATTAAAAAAAAGCTTTTTCCAAATGAAAAAAAAACAACTATCAAGCTTTAGAGCCTTCGCTTCTATTAGAAACACTTGTGAAAATAATTTTTCTTGCAATCTCAGTTTGGTTTCAGCACAGGAGGGATGTGCAAGGAACATTAAAAAAGGAAAAGCAATTGAAAAGAAACAGACTCCAACCCCTCCATTTTAATATCCGAGATGTGCCTAAGTCATTGGCTTTCAAATATATTTTGGTGTAAAATTTGGCACATTTACAGCTGGTCAGATTTATTTATTTGACTGGCTTACATTTTTCTGGTTGATTTACCTGAGGCAATGTCTGTGTGAATTACTCCACAATGCATTGACTCCAGTGTTCATTAAAGGTAGTTAAGTGATCCTGTGTCTAATATTAAAGCAAACCCCATTAACCTTAACTAGTATCATATCAGCAAAACAAAAAGAACTGAATAAAGCAAAATAGATCGGGTATTTATAGTTCTTGGACAAGATCCAGCAAATTCACATCGAGCTCCTAATAGTCCTAATAAGCACTTGCTAGTTATGCCCATGAAGAGGGAGGAGGCTGGATTAGGGCTGTGTGTGATGCAGGCTCAGGGATTTGGGAAGGGCTTTGGGAAGGGGGGGTGCTGGCAGGCGATGCCGGAGCGTTTCCCACCCACACCTGCAGGGCGTTGTCCGACCCTTTCCCCCTGCTTTCCTTCCAAAGTCAACATTTCCCATTTTAATGGTGTTTTTTTTGACTCTATATTGGTGTCCCGTGTCTTAAAGTCCATGCAGGTGAGTGAGCAAACTCCCTTGCTGGGATTGAAGAGCCAGAAGCTTTTAGGGGATGGAGGTGACTTTTCAATCAGTGTCAGCTTCCACTGCTGTCCATTGTTCTGCCCAGACAGGCACTGGGACCTCTGCTTGCCATGCATCACGTTTGCATATAATCCAGCAGAAACCCATGCCAGACCTTACTTCTTTTATTTTTCCTTCCTGCTTTTTCTTTTGACATCTGGGAGACAAATCCCAGATATTCTCGGACCAGGTAGGGCTTTTTTATTAGAGAAGTCTTTCCAGCAACCCTGCAATAATTTGACTTATATCAAGGTTGAATAACTCCTTGTCAGGTGTTAAGCTCATGACCTTTCAAGCCAAACACACTTATACTAACCAGTTTACCATTGGAATGATCAATATCTTGTAAGTGAGAAAGTCTAGACAGATCTTATTTTGTCCTTTGGTATCACTTGTGGCTTTGGAATTGATCATTATATGTGGCTGGGGAAAAATTGCCTATACATTTCATGCTCTGTATTTATCTTGACAAGGTTCTCTAGGATTATATTTTCATAATCTGAATGGCAGTGGAACAGCTGCTCAGACTGTGCAAGCCCTTCTTATTGGGCTGAATTTAAGCCACGGTAATTACTCTTTCTCCTTATGTATTTCTTTTTTAAACAAGCGTGTACTATACATTAAAATGTAAGGTTGGGGTGGCAGGGGGCATGCTGAGAAGCTTGGAAAATGCTGCTAAAGTGTATTTCCTTCCACACAGTAGCTGATGTGGGTTTGTATTTTATTCTAAATATAAGCCCATGTCTGAGCATGAGTGGGCTCTGAAGCAGGGTCTCAACCTACGGAGGGAAAATGTTTTTTTATTAAGAAATATTAGAGCCAAGATTCCCTGAGACTGGAGGCTGTTTAGGAAATACCCAGTAAATGCATGACTGACTGAAGCCTTCAAGTGCTCCCTTTGCAAAGAGAAACCCGTGCCCAGGGAAGCAGCTGAGCCACAGGGACCTGCACAGGCTTGGGAGGTGCCCGAGTGACACGGTAATGGAAACACTGAAATACAACAGACTGATGGGTTGCTATTTCCTGTGGGATGGAGGAAATGGGAAAATAGAAAGGTATCTTGGAGAGAAAGAATGTACTGCTTTTCTCGAGTTGTTTTTTTGGGGGGTTGTTTTTTTTTTCCTCTACACTGCTAACTGTGTTATTTACTAGATGCCTGTTCTGGGCTGTGCTTTTTCTCCTCTCCCCCACCCCTGTTGCGTTTGCAGAGTACTTTCCAAGGGGTGTTTTGTGAATTAGCTTCATGCTTTAAAAGAGAAGATTGCTCTGGCAGAGAACAGCATAGTTGTAAAAGTGTCAAGGTGTTATGAATGTCCTGATGATAGAGCCCAGTTGTTATCTGCTGGGTAGTGAGGGAGGATAGCTAATGATGTGCAGCATGTAAACCGTTTGTTGCTCTAATCCATCTGTGTGGAGAGGAGTGAAAAAGAGGGGCGAAATCCTGGGAAAATTACTTGGACAGCTGGAGATAAAGTGTGTACTGATGGAGTCATCCAGAGGTAGCTGTCAACATGAGCTGTGTTTGCATATAATCCAAGCGATGCACAATGATTCCTTTTGGTACTGTTTTTTTTTATGGGGGTTCATGTGTCTCTGCACAGACCTTAATTACTATCCAGTATCTCTTACCAACTGGGCTCCAGTTTTAAGTGAGGAATGTGATTTTAATCAATTCGTGGCTGGGCGGTGGAGAGAAGTACTACAAACAGACCAAAGCAAGACATATGGATCCCTTTGGAGGACCTGAATTAAATGAGAAGCAGTCATTTTATTAATTCTGCTGTGTTTTATAGACCTTTTATATGGAACATTACCCATACAACTTCACTAGCTAATTAAAAAGGGCTCTTATCAATTTGCTGGGCAGTTGCTTATGCAGAGGGGAAAAAAATAAAAAAGAGAAGAAGAAATAATATTTTTTTTTTGAGTCCCAGAAAATTATTAACCTTAAGGGGGTACGGAACAGATCACAAAATGCCTGGTGAGACTATTTGGACTGCTTATCTTCACTCTTCTGAAAGAACTGTTGTAAAAACTGAACATTACACAACGCTTTGAGAGTGATCTGCACCGTGCCTGTTGTTCATATGTAAACCTTACACAGGTCTGGTGCAGTGCCTGCAGATATGTGAGCACAGGCTAAATTAGGGGCTTTGTACACTGGATTTCTATGATCCCTCCTGGCAAAGAAGGCACCTTTTTCCTTGGGCTGGCATTAGCAGCAGTTTGAGCAGCTTTGTAATGTTCTCAGCCAGGACTGAGGAGTGCGTGCGATGCTTCGGGCGTGGGACTTGGAAGCTTTTTGCAAAGGGAGGAGAGAGAGAAGCAAGTGCAGGGGAGCCACCCTGGTCCTGACTGATCATCACATCAGCATGGAACTGATGGCTTTAAAATGGACTTTGCCTTCTGCAAGCAGCCTGAGAGGAAGGGCAGGACACACAGGGGAAGGTTGTGGAAATGGGGAGTGCCTGTCTGAGTGCAGATCTCTGTGCTGCTGCCTGTGTGGGATGGGACGAGGCTGAAGCCATCCCAGCACCTGAAAAGCAGCATCACA